TTCCTAGATGGAATAATAAAGTGACATAAACTCTGACAAAGTATCAGCAGAAGTTGTTTCTGGGAACAGCTGGCAGCACACATTTGGTACTTTCTACCTTCTTCCTTTCTGGAACATAGATTCATTTCCCAGAGATGGAGCAGCTATCTTGAGCATTGATATTGGGGGAAGGGGAGGAAATAAATCATACTCTAAGGACTGTAGTAGAATGGGGAGCTAGAAACAACTTAGGTTTGTGATGGTAACAAGATATTATAACAGCCCTAAACATTAGGACACAGGGAGGGGGGATTCTCTAGTTAACGTTATATACACAGTTATCTTGGAATCTCTCTGGTAGTTTAGTGGTAGAAACTGCACTGCAATCCTAAAACCACACTGTTTAAATCCACCAGCTGCTTCATGGGAAAAGGACAGGCAATCTCCTTCCATGCAATTTACTGCCTCTGAAACCCTGCTGGAGGGTCAGTGATGTGTTGGTTCCAACTCAAACACTACCACCACATTAACAGCATACATTTTTCTTGTTGTACCATTCAGATAATAGTATTTTTTTTGGGGGAGGGGTTATTACAAAGAATGTGATTACATTTGGCTTAATCTTTACCTTGGATATTATTAGTACATTGAAAATGTTGAAAAAGTCTGATATTTCTTAAATGATATAGTACCTAGACACAGAGCTTATTTTTAAATACTTTATATTATTAAGGGAGCTCTGGTAGCCAAGTGATAAGGAGTGGCACTGCCTTGCCATCGCAAAGGTACGCTAATCAAATCTACAGGAAAAAGATGGACAAATCTCCTGTGCCATTTAAAACATGCTGGAGGGTCAGTTAGGAGTTGGTTACAACTCAACAGCACCTAATAACAATTAAATTATTAATATACATAGTATCAACAGAAAGTCTCTCATGTTAGTGATTCATCTACTGTCACTGAGAAAATTTAGGTAAGCCAAAAATATTTTCTACAAAAGAAAAAACCCACCCAAAAAACCAACACATCAAAAAACCTCTAGTAATTCTATTAATTCTCATACATACATTTGCTATTTTCTCAGACTTCTTTACTTCTTAAACTCTAAAGATGTTTATTTTCTCATGTGATTACGTATTTTGGAAACCAGAACACATTTTACGTTTGATAGCATATGAGGACTGAATTAATAGTTTGATAGGATTTTTTCTTACTTATTGGTACACAAATTAACAGTATACTGTTCAGAAAACAAAACTGCCGTAATTCTGTGTAGACAGCTTTAGAATGTTTTTGGCTTAATATATCAAGCACATCTTCCAAATTCAAGAAACATTTACCCTTATAATTTTTCATGACTGTAAGATATTCTGGTCTACAATTAATTAATAGCAGTGGGCATTTAGAATGCCCCCAGCTTTTCACCATAACAAATTGTACTTTTCCCACACTTATTACCCTGGAATGATTCTGTGAAATTGTTGGTTCAAAGGGAATCCACTTTTGAAAGTTACTGGTGCATAATGCCTTGTAGGCTTGAAGCGTTATGTTAATATTTTTGCAAATAACTCTTTACAAAGTGCATAACAGGTTGGGCTGTGAACTGAAAGTTTGGTGGTTTAAGTTCACTAGGGGCTCTAAACAAAGATAGGAAGGGAGTCTCTGTCTGTAAAGATGTATAGTCTCAGAAATCCAATGAAGTGCTACCATAAATTACAAATGACTTAACAGCAGTATGTATGAATATGGTAATAATAGGAGCTCCAATAATGCAATGGCTCAGTGCTCAGCTGTTAACCTAAAGGTTAGTCATTCAAATACACAAGCTGCTCCTGGGAGAAAAGATCTAGTCTTGTAAAGATCTCAGCCTGGAAAGTCCCACAGTGCAGATTTATCTACTTTGTCCTATATAGTCACTATGATTCAATACACAGTAACAGAACTGTAATAATGAGAAAATTTGTTTTTCAATAGGAATTCCTCTATTTAATCATGAAAACAATGTTTCTTAATATTTTTACCAAAGGAATACTTGTATTTTCACTTTTCTTGTTAGAAGCAGCACTCCTTTCTTTTTAAAGAAACTATCAGCACTATGAGAGGAAAAAAAAATTATATATATATATATATATATATAACACAAAAATATGAAAAATAAGAAACTAAAGTTATTCAGCATCTGGTCTTCAGGTAGCTGCTTTTGTTTCCAGTATTTTTACAACATGCCAGGTATAGCCTAATAGGAACAACTATTACCTGATCTTCATATCCTTCTATCTTCACAGGTGTGAACTGGTCCATGTTATACTGGGCAAATGCACTGTGTTGTTTTGGTGGTTTTTTTTTTTAAAAAAAGAAAGGTGATAAGAGGGAGAAAAAGAATTATGTATAAATAAAAACAAAAGGTCATTCCCAGCCCAATGTAAAGAATGTGAAAAAATTACCTGGTAAAATGGGAAAACATTACCACTCTTCTTAGAAGTCTAGTTATTAAAACACCTTCCAATTTTCTGAAGAGAATGCTTTTCTCAAAGATCACAGGAATATTCAAGCTTTCAAATTACGATTTTCTCTCAATTCCTATGTCCCAACAGAGCTCCTTTGTATCCACTTCCTCAACACCATGCCTCTGGAAACTATGAACTTTGATAAATGACTACAGTTAATAGGCTTTAGGCCTTTTGTTCATAGGGTCGCTATGAGTTGTTCTCAACTTAACGGCAATCAACAACATCAACAAGTTTTCAGCAAGTATCTTATTCTGAAGTGCCAACAGCTTTTAATAATTTATACAACTTTTTAGTCATTAAAATGAAACTTGAAATCATATGGTATTTTTCAAATGTCTTTTTATCTTGGGTTCTATGAGGCAAGCCAAGGAAGGCTTCTGGTGGTACAGAAGGTTAAGTATTGGGTTGCTATCCCAAAGGTCTCCAGTTTGAACCCAACAACCACTATGTAGGATAAAGATGAGTCAGTCTGCTCCTAACTTTTTTTTTTAAGGGCATATGACATAGTGAGATGGTGAAGGAGAGTTGATTAGGAGCTTAACCTCAGAGTAGAATCTAAGGCAGAGAGTAGAGATAAAAAAAAGGGAATAAATAATCGAAGAGTAGGTGTAATATTTTGTATTTACTTGTTCAGTGATTGATTTATGGAATTTTGCAATGTAAATGGCTCCCTAGTTCATATTACAAAGGAAGCTAAAGTAAAACATAAGGTAAAAGATAAAGATGAAAGCAAGTCGTTAAAATAAGCCAAGTATGACACATTTATAGTCTCAGAAAGTTAAGTCTTTTGACATAAATCACTTGCCAAGCCAAGAGTTAAGCATCTACTGAGTCCAATTTTTACCTAACCTATTAAATATGTGCTAGATTACTTTAGGGGGGATTGTTGTTGGCTGTCACTGAAGTCAACTACCACTCATAAAGCAACAAATCAAAACCTTACCCTATTCTGCTCCATCCTCACTATCTCTGAAATGCTCAGAACCATTGGTAGGAGTCATGATGTCAATCCATTTCTATGAAGGCCTTCCTCTTTCTCTGACCTTTCACTCTTCCCACTATGATGTCTATTTCCAAGGACTGGTCCTCCATATAACATGCCCAAAATACCTGGGACAAAGTTTGGCCATTCTTGTCTCTAAGGAGAATACTAATTGAACTTCCTTAAGGTCAGATTTACTGTTTTCATGGCAGTTCACTGAGTAATAGTCAATACTCCAAATCATCATCAAATCTATTCATTAGATGGTTTTAAAATTCAACTGGAATACATTTAAGATCATATTTTGGTTCTAATGAATTTATTTTCATTTTTCTCTACTTGAGTTTGAACTTGGATACGAGTAGTGGATGTTTTGTTCCACAATCAGTCCCTGGTCTAGTTTTCACTGACACTGAGCTTCTCCAACATCTTTCTTCTATGTAGACCATCATTGAAGTCAATGGTTTAAAGTCACCATTTATGTTTCTTTTTTTTTTTAAACTGGCAATGAATAAATAATGGATTGTATAAAATGCTATCATTCCTTCTCCACTGTTCTTTCTGTCACCAAGGCCATATTTTCTGACTACCAGTCTTTATTTCGATCTTTTACGTTCTAGTCACCAATTATCATTAATGTATCTCAACTGAGTGTTTGATCAATTTTAGACTGCATGCAAAAGTTGGTAGAAATACTCAGTTTCTTCATCTTTGGCTTTCATGCTTGGTGTTTATATCTGAGAAATAACTATATTAACAGGCCTTCCTTGTATGTGTATGGATAGTATTCTAGTACAGCACTATACTTGAACTTCTTCCTTTACTGCCATTAGTTTTTGATCATATGCTACTTTCATAAAATGGTTCAGTACTAAAATCTTTTTTGTATACTGTCTCTGTACATTCCTTCTATCTTCTTTTGATGCTTCCTACATCATATAAGCTTTTGTCCATAGAATTCTAAGTTCTTTTAGCTAGAGGAATGCTGATATGTTCTTCTTTCCCTTTTGGTTTTCTAACTCAATTCTTTGCACATTTCATTATAAAACTTTGCAATGTTTCCAACAGAAAAAAATCATATGACTGACTGATTCAAAATGGTCCACACAATTCCTTCTCACCTCACTATGTACTCTTTCATTTTTGACAATTTTCACTTTTCCTAGATTCATGCTCCAACTATTAGTGGATATTCAGAGCTATTTCTCTTCACCTTATATCATATCAAATTGCAAATGAAGGTCTTTTGAGTGAAAGCTTTACTCCATCCATGTCATCGAGGTGGCAGCTCTTCCCCAGTGGCATTTATGAGTGCCTTTCAACCACAGAGGTTTCATCTTCTAGCACAACACAAAAATTCTTTGTTAATAACTGGATTCATGAAATACTGTTATTTCAGAAGGGATAGGCAGTCCTGCTTCATGCTCTGGAAGCTCCAGTGAAACCTGTCCACTATGGAGGACTCTGCTAATACCTGAAATACCAGTGGCATAACTTCCAACATGACAGCAACACAAAAACCACCACAATATAGCGAACTGATAGATGAGTGGTAAATGTACGGAATTTTATTTCCATCATTTTTTAATTAGTAATCATAAAACAAAAAACAATAGTTATGTGCCAGGGTTTTGTTATATATGATTAGGGAACTCTAATGTGCTAGTGGATAAGGAAGTGTGCTACTAACTCAAAGGCACGTGGTTGAAATACACCACCTGCTTCTCAGGAGAAAGATGGAAACTCTCCTGTGCAATTTACAGCCTCTTGAAAACCTGCTGGAAGGTCAGCTAGAAAGCAGTTCCTACTTGACAGCAGTGCTAAAAGAAATGAATAATGAAATACTGTCATGAATTTGTCATTTGTTCTTCATAACAACCTCCTGGGGTAAGTACTATTATCCTCTCCATTTTTACAGTTGGGGGGGAAAAAGCATCACAGACACTAGAGATATTATCACATACAATACAGGGCTCCTGTTACAGAGAACATTGTCTTTATAGGCAAGCCATAGAAGCCTATTATTACATAATACAGAAAATACTTCATGAGAAAAAGCAAACCAAACCTCTCCCTCTCACTCAAACAAAAGTCACCGGCACCAGGTGAATTTCATTCTAAGGCTGTACTCTTTAAGGAAGTAAAATGCCATGCCTTTCTTTTACCTGAAGAGTAGCTGGTGGGTTCAATCTGCCTACCTCTGGGTTTTCACAAAAATATAAGGATTGTTGTTGTTATGTGCCATTGAGATGACTGTGACTCATAGTGTCCCACGCACAATAGCTCTGAACTCTGCCCTATCATCCAGAGCCATCTCACTGTCTCTGACACATCTACCACCATTATCCTGGTTACTGTGTCAATCCACCTCATCCAGGGTCTTCCTCTCCTGTGCTATCCCTCCACCCTTCCAAGCATGATTACCTTCTCCAAGGACTGGTCCTTCCTGGCAATATGCCTAGAGTATGTCAGATGGAGCTTCAAAATCCTTGCTTCTAAAGAGCAATCTGGTTTCAACATCTCCAGGAGAGACCTGTTTGTTTCTTCTCTTGTTATGTTCAATACACTTTTCCAGCACCACATCTCAAAGGCATTGATTCTTCTTCTGTCACCCTTAGTCAATGTCCAGCTCTCTGATGCATAGCAAGTAACTGCAAAGATTATGGTCTACCTCAGTCTACAGAATGACATCTTGCTCTTTAGCACTCTGAAGAGGTTCCTGACAGCAGATTTTCCCAATGTCTTTGGATTTCCCAACTGATGGTGTCAAGAGTGTTGTTTATGGAACTGAGCAAGCTAAAATGAACAATCTCCATCTCGTATAGTGGTGACAATTGGCCCAGTGATAAGAATCTTTGTTTTCTTGATGTTGAGCTTCAGTCCAGACTGAAGACTGCAGTCCTTAACCTTCTACAGCAAACTCTTTAGGTCTTCCTCAGTTTCAGCAAGCAAGGTTGTGTCATATGCATAAGGCAGGTTGTTGATGAGTCTTCCTTCAATCCTGATGCCACATTCCTCCTCAAGCCCAGTCTTCTGAATGAAGTGTTCCACATACAGATTGAGAAGTTACAGAGACAGAAAATATCCCTGACACATTCCTTTCCTGATTTTGAACCATGCAGTGTTTCCTTGCTCTGTTCTGAGAACTGTCCTGGTCCAACCATAGGTTTTGCATCAGCATAATCAAGTGTTCTGGGATTCCCATTCTTCTTAAGGTTAGCCACAATTTGTTGTGATCCACACCATCAAATGCCTTTGAATAGTCAATGAAACATAGATAGCCATTCCTCTGGCATGCTCTGCTTTCAGCTAAGATCCATCTGACATTGGCTATGATGTTCCTAGTGCCATGTCTCTTCTAAACTCAGCTTGTATTTCTGGTACCTCTCTGCCAATGTACTGTTCCAATCATTTCGGGACAATCTTCAGAAGGATTTTGCTTGTCTGTGATATCAGCGATGCTGTTCAATAATATCCACACTCTTCTAGATCACTTTTTTTTGAGGAATAGGAATAAATATGGATCTCTTCCAGGTGTGTATGAACTGGTGATCTTTTAGTGTGCAGTCCAACACATAATGCCCTATGTAATCAAAGCATTTAGGGAGTATAGAAACTAAATGAAATCCACTCATTGAGAAAATTTTGACTCACAGCAAGAGACTGCCCATCTTCTTCCTCAAAAGCATCTGGTAAAATGGAACCACTAACCTTTTAATTATTAGCAGCCTGACACATAACACACATAATTCCTTAGGGAATATATACGTACTACATTAAAGGATATGTCCCAAGACCACAGATTACCAACACTAAAACCTGTTTACATTTATGTTCATCTCAGGTAAATGTTACCTCTAGCTGACCAATTGCTCACATCAAAAACTTGAGATGATCCTTGACTCATTCTTTATAGAAGGTAAGGTAATAAAGATGATGACTGGCAAAACAGTCACTCATTCTATTATAAAAAAGCAAACAAAAACACACCCAGAACACAGAAAAGAATGTCTTTTTATCCTTAAGAGAAAGAAAACATTTGGGGCTAGGATAACAGTTTAATAAGAAGACTGTCCAAGAATCTAGAGTCTATAACAACCAGTATAATTTATAAATACAAAGTCTTACTGTTATTGTTAGGTGCCATCAAGTCAATTATGACTCACAGCAAATGACAGCAAATGTCAGAACTCAATCATGTCCTATTTTGTTCCATCCTCAATTTTTGACATACTAAAGCCCACTGTAGTAGTCAATACACTTGGCTGAGGGTGTTCTTCTCTTTTGTCATCCCTCTCCAAGGAATAGCTTTTTCTAACAACATGCCCTAAGTATGTGAGACGAAGCTTTATCATCATTGCCTCCAAGGAGCACTCTGGCTGCACCTTCTCCAACACATACCTGTTTGTTCTTTTGGCAGTCTATGGGACATCCAGTACTTTTCTCCAATACTACAGCCCAAAGGCATCAATTCTTTTGTCATCCTTATTCATTGTCCAGCTCTCAGCAGCATATTAAGTGATTGAAAAGACTGTGGCCTTAATCAGGTGCTTGTTTAGTCCTCAAAATAATATCGTTGCTCATCAATAATCTGGAGAGGTCTCTGACTATAGACCTTCTTAGTGAAATACATCTCCTCATCTCCTGGCCGCTGGCACCAAGTAAACTGATTGTGGATCGAATTAAGATAAATTTGTTGAGTTTCAATCTTTTCTTCATCTACTACAATGTTGCCTATCAGACCAAGATTTTTGTTATCTTGACATTGAAATGTAATCCATATTGAAGTCTTGGATCTTCTGTAGCAAGTGCTTCAAGTCCTGCTCACTTTCAGCAAGCAAGGTGGTGTCATCCATATAATGTAGGTTACTGATGAGTCTTCATCCAATCCCGATGCCACATTCTTCTTCAGAGAGTCCAGCTTCTTGAATAATCTTCTCAGCATACAGACTGAATAGGTATGGAGAAAGGATACAAGCCAGACACACACCTTCATTAAAACCATGTAGTATTCCCTTGTTCTGTTTGGACAAATAGGTCTTAGTATAGGTTTCACATGAGCACAATCAATTATTTTGAGAGTCTTATTCTTCTCAATGTTAGCCATCATTTGTTATGATCCACACAAATTCCTCTGCATACACTGTCAATAAAGCACAAATAGACATACTTCTGGCATTCTTTGCTTGCAGCCATGATTCATGTGACAGAGCAATAATAATCCTGGTGCTACAGTCTCTTCTAAATCCAACTTAAACTTCTAGCAGTTCTCTATGTACATTTTAGTTGTTTTTGAATGATCTTCAACAGTATTTTGTTTGCATGTAATATTAATAATATTGTTCAGATTATTTCCACATCTTGTTGGATCACTTTTCTTGGGAATGGGAACAAATATGGATCTCTTTCAGTCAGCCAGCCAGGCAGCAGTCCTCCAAATTTCCTGGCATAGACTGCTGAGCACGTCCAGGGCTGCATCTGTCATTTGAAACATGTCAACTGATATTGCATTGATTCTTGGGGCCTTAGTTTTTATTAGTGCTTTCAGAACAGCTTGAATAACAACCAGATTTATTTATAAATACAAAATCTCACTGTAAGTGTAACTAAGACAATTGAAACACCTGTATTACATGCTAACTTAAACAAAAAGCAAACCTGTTGCCACTGTCTTACTCCAACTCTTTGGGATAAAGTGTGCTAGGAGTCAAGTCTAATTCATAGTGTACCTATGAACAATGAATCTGAACCCTGCTCAATCCTGTGCCATCTTCATCATCTCTGATATACTCTAGCCCACTGTTAAAGTCCTGTGTCAATCCACCTTGTTGAGGCTCTTCCTCTTTTTTTGCTGACTCTCCAACTTTTCAAGCATGATGTCTTTTTCCCCCCAAGGAGTGGTCCATTCTTACAGCATGCTAAAGGTATGTCAGATGAAGTTTCACCACCCTTGTCTCTAGGAAGCACCCTGGTTGAACAGAGTATAATGGTCCTATAGGATTTCCAACGCTTTAATATTTACAGAAGAAGACTGCCACATATAATTCCTGCAGAGCAAGTGGTGATTTAAAATTACTGACCTTATAGGTAGCAGATAAGCGCATAACCACTGTGCCACTAGGGCTTCTTACTTATAGTCACTTTTTATTGGAATCGGGACAACAGGCTTATGTTGTAAACAGCCTTGGATCTTGATATTTCCTTCCGCTCCAGTAAAACGTTTTAAGCAAAGTCCAGAGCAGATCTATTTCTGGTTCACTACCAAGGAAAAAACAAGGGCTAATATAGCAGACAAACTGAAGAGCCTGCTTCGTTGGATAATGAAGTCCTTCATTACCAAAAGCATTCAGATGGGATTTTTCAGTAGAATGGCAGAGTTCAGTACAGAGGTTGAATTAGTAAATTCTAAATGTCCTTTTCCATGGCAGATGTTGTTGAGTATGCCTCCAACTCACAGCAGTCCTATGTGCAATGGAACTAAACACTGCGTAATCCAATACCATTCCAGTGACAGGCTGCAGACAGAACTATGTGATCTACAAGATTTACAATGGCTGGTTTTTGGAAGTAGATTGCCTTTCTTCCTAGTCCATTTTAGTCTGAACGTTCTGCTGAAATCTGCTAAGATCATAGCAACATGAAGGCTTCCAACGTCAGTGGCCGTGTATAAGGCATATTAGCCAGTAAACAAACCTGGGTCTCGTATAGGAAAGACAAGAACTTTACCACTGAACCATCACTGTACTTTCTATATAGCACACAGAAAATAAGTGTTAGTATGGATGTTTAGTATGTGTCCAAATCTTCCTAAAGTAATATAAAACTAGGAAATTATTCATGATGGTAAATTTAAATCTATGCAAGTCCTGAGTGTGGAGAAGATAGTCTCAAAATGAAATTTAAAAAAAAAGGAAAAGATGACTTTTCTAGGCATCAGTTCTCTGTAACAGTTTTCTTTCACTAAAATACAAATTAGTCAATTACATCTCATACAAAACGCTTCTATGAAAGTTTTTGTTGTCCTATATATCAAGATGTTTTGTCCCTTCTCTCCATTTCTCTTTCTAATTCTATTTTTCCTTTACAAAGTAACTCGGGCCTAGCTTGACAGAGAAACTAAAAGAGAATTTTGTCTTGGAAAACAGAAAAACACACAATTGGGTTAGGATAAAGCCAGTTAACAGGGGACTGAAAGAAGCCCCTATTCCCTCAAACACCATGTATTTAAGGGCAAGGAAAAAATGAAAATGAGATTTTAAAAAGGTTAATTAGACTGAAATTAATGGGATATTATAATAATAATGATTTTATCCTATAGCTAATCTAACTATTAAGGTACTTTATGAAATCACTATTTTTTTAAAATTTGAGACATACTACCAATCCTCAATGGCATCTAACAACAACAATCAATCCTCAACAGCAGCAAATTTTTGACAACTACATGTGGGGGAACCAAGAAATTTAAATATAGTGTATTTTCCAGCTTCCTAGCTTTATATCAATAAGATACTGACACACTCACAAGAAGGGGGGAAAAAAAAATCAACATGAGCCAGAAGGGCTATTTAAAAAAAAATTATAATAACAGCCAACATTAAGACACTCTTCTAAAAAACCCAAACCAAAACCAAGTTGTCATATACAGTAAGTTCTGAGGAAGTCATATTTTGGGGTGAATATCTTTTAGCCAAGAAAAAAGCAATTAAGACATTCTAAAAACAATGGTTTTATTTTAAAGCATTATAAATCATAACTTTCAAGTTTTTTTCCACAGTTCATCACAAATTAGAACAAAATAAATAAATTTAGACATGTACTTACTGGGCTGCCCCTTCCCTGAGGAGATTGTCATTATTAAGTAGTAGTCGGACATCTGAGGGGGGAAAAAAGGATGTTAAAAGTTTAGAAGAGGATAAATTTAAGACATTTTAGCAGGTTTCTGGATTAGATTTTTAAAATTCAAGCTTTTCACGATTAGTCTGTATACGCTGAGATTCTAAAACTGCACAAAAACATGCTAATAGATTTGCATACAATTATGCTTGTTAGAACAAGCAATAAATTATCAATTTTATAGCAATGTAAAACAGTTTACAGAATGTTAGTGCTATTAATTTTCTATCTGAAAAAATCATAATTACCATCATTCATAATTACTATAAAGAATTGCAAGCTTTTCTATAAAATTAGATGAAGATTAAAAAATGGCTACTAGTTTTCTTTAGAAAATTTGTGTCATGAGTCCAAATGCCTTCATTTTAAAATAAGATGGTCCTTTTTACTGAGAAACTAACTAGAGGGAAAGCTGGTTATAATCCAAACACCACTGATTCTCAGTGCTTACAGAAGGACCAGGTAGTGACAAATATCTCAAATGCCAACAAAACTCAGTCCTCATGCCATAAATAGCTTGCAAATTCCTAATCTAATGCTTTGTATGAATTATTCTTATAATGTGCTTATTAAGAGCATTTAGTTATCATAAAGAAAACAAGAGAATTCTAACTACAAAGTAAATTCTGTTCAATTTACCTGATCTGATTATCAGCAGGATGAGGTTCAAGGTTAAGGAGAATTTTCTATAAATATTTGTAAAAAGTTTGCATAGATGAGTGTGGAAGAAAGACTAGACACATGTTCCATTTGTGTCTCTCATAATATACAAGCAATTCCATGAAGAATGCCTTGATTAACTTTTATTGTATTACCCAACTTACTTCTTGATGATATTAAAACAATTTTCTACTTTTTCATCAGTAATTTTACCAGTGAAGATTACTTATTATTCTACATGTGGGGCTCTGGCCAGCCACAAATAAATATATGGTTCCTAACAAGTAGCTAATATTCTACTGTAAAACTAGCATTTTAAAATAAATGCTTTCTCTACTAAACCAAGACAAACAATTATGATTTTAATAAGGGAGGAAAATCTCTAGATAAAATTATGATGGTGACTTAAAATGGTGTTTCTAATGATTTCTCTTACCCCTAGGTTCAAGATGTCCTATCTACATTTTTCAGTCTGTACAGTACGTTGAGACAATGAATAGTATAGAAGATTGCAAAGGCATTAGAGAAATAATTATCAAAATGGCTGTGATTCAGAATCATATGGGCTAACATGACAAAGTACTACTTGCTTACTTAGTTTCACTCCAGATGTAACTAATGACAATCTTGAGGAAATGATAGCATTGTTGCTAGGTGCAGCCGATTCCAGTAAAACCCATAATGATACCATGAACAACAGATATGAACCCTGTCCTATCCAATGACAACTTCACACTTCCTGACACATCAGAGCTCATTGCGGCAGTCACCGTGCCAATCCATCTGGTTGAGGGTCTTTCTCTTCTTCACTGACACTCTAGCTTTCCAAGCATCATGTCCCTCTCCAAGGAACAGCCCCTCCTAGCAACATGTCCAAAGTATGTGAAGCCTCATCATCTTTGTCTCTAAAGAGTACTCTGGCTGCACCCTCTCCAAGACGTATCTGTCTCTTCTTTTGGCCATCAAGTGCTCTTCTCCAACACCAGAGCTAAAAGGCATCAATTCTTCTGTCATCCTTATTCATTATCCAGCTCTCAGACACACAGCAAGTGATTAGAAAGACCATGGCCTGAATCAGACACATCTTAGTCCTCAAACTGACATCATTACTCCTAAATAATTTGGAGAGGTCCCTACCTACAGACATTTCCAGTGCCATATATCTCCTGATTTCCTGGCTGCTAGTACCAAGGATGTTAACTATGGATCCAAATAAGATCAAGTTTATCAATGATTACTGAAAATTATGAGGGGATGACAGAATTGGAATCTGTTTATTATTTCATGAACTTTCCAGATTTTAATGATATGTGGTCCTAAAAGCCCTAAAACCAGTTGCTGTCAGGATGATTTGGACTCCTGGGAACACTATGTGTATCAGAACAGATTTGCTTCGCATGATTTTCAGTGGCTGTTTCTAAGAAGTAGATGGTCAGACATTCTTCTAATGTGTCTCTGAGTGGACTTGAATCTCTAATCTTTTGTTTAACACTTGAGCCCCTTAGCCATTAGCAGCACCTAAAGACTCTTGATTATTCCTAGCATGATTTCTACTATAACACTTAAGTGAAAACACTGAAGAAACTTAAGAAGTGATTTATAATTAATTAAAAAATTATAAAATCAATGTAATTGTTGTTCTTATGTGTTGTCGAGTTGCCTGAGACTCACAGAGACCTTATGTACAACTACCCTAAACCCTGTTCTAGCCTATGCCAATCTTATTGTCTCTGACACATCAATCACCATTACCCCAGTCACTGAATCAATTCATCTTTTTGATTGTCTTCCTCTCTTGCACTGTCCCTCGAGACCCTCTCAAGCAAGATGTCCCTATCCAATCCTGTCTTGCAACATGTCCAAAGTATGTTAGACCAAGCTTCAGAATCCTTGCTTCCAAGGAGCAGCCTGGTCTCACATTCTCTAGGACGAACTTGTTTGTTTTCTTAGCAGTCCACGGTATATTCAATACTCTCCTCCAGCACCACAGCTCAAAGGCATCAATTCTCTTCCTAGTGTCCCTAGTCATTGTCCAGCTTTCCAATGCAAAGACCATGGCCTGTATCAGGCGCACCTTAGTCTCCAGACTGACATCGTTGCTCTTCAGTACTTTGGAGAGGTCTCTGACAGTGGAATTTCCCAATGCAATTTGTCTTTTAATTTCCTTGCTGCTCGTACCAAGAGTACTGATTGTAGAGCCAAGCAAACTGAAGCTGTTAACAATCTCAATCTCTTCACCATCTATCATGATGCTACCAATCAGCCTAATGGTGAGATTCTTTGTTTTCTTGATGTTTAGGTTCAATCTGTATTGAAGGCTGCAATCCTTGACCTTCTGCAGCAAGCAAGGTTGTGTCATCTGCATAACACAGATTGTTGAGGAGTCTTTCTCTAATTCTGATGCCACATTTCTCCTTATAGAGCCCAGCTTCCCAGATAATCTGTTCTGCATATAGGGAGACAGGACATATCCTTGGCACACACCCTTCCCGATTTTGAACCATGCATTGTTTTCTCACTCTGAGGAATGCCTCCTGGTCCCAGTATAGGTTTCACAGAAGTACACACAATGAAGTGTTCTGGGATTCCCATTCTTCTCAGACTCAGCCACAGTTTGTTACGATCATATAGTCAAATGCCTTTGAATAGTTAATGAAACATTCCTCTGGTACTCCCTGCTTTCAGCCAAGATCCATCTAATGTTAGCTATAACACCCATAGTACCACGGCCTCTTCTAAACCCAGCCTGCACTTCAGGCAGTTCTCTTGTTGTTCATGTGCTGTTCCAGTTGTTTTGGATTATCTTCAGCAGAATCTTGTTTCCATGTGATATCTGTTGATAATCAATGATACTGTTCGATAATTTCTGCACTCTGTCAGATCACTTTTCTTTGAAATGGAAATAAATATAGATCTCTTCCAGTTAGTTGGCCAGATGGTTGTCTTGCAGAATAGTTACAGTGTAATATTATGCTTACATTTAATGATATTTAAGGAAGCTCTCCTGGCCTAGGAGTTGAGCTGTCAACCCAAAGGCAAGCAGTTCAAATTTGTCAGCTGTTCTTCCAGAGAAAGACAGGCAACATCCTCTGAGTACTTTACAGTCTCGGAAACCCACTGGAGGGTCAGCTATGAGTTAGTTCCATCTTGACAGCACCCAACAATAATGATATTAAACAACTCTTCATTTACATATTTATTGGTAATAAACTACCTTTTAAGTATTTTTTTCATATAAGATAGATGTTATGGGTAAGGTGTACATCAACTTGGCAGCCAATGATTCTCTGGTTTCACAATTATGATGTCCTTGGTGAGATCTGATGTAATTAATGAAACCTTATATATCATCTTCATGATACAATCTGCTGTGAGCAGTCACCAGTTAAAAGTTTCACTCTAAATGTGGCCTACATTGAGTACATATAGACCTCTGACAAAACTTCCTTTTTGCTTGATTCAGAGCCTTTGTCAGGCTCGCTATATCTAGTTCTTTGGAGTTAGCAGTATATCTTACCCTGCTGACCTTGGATTCATGAGCCTCAGAAGTGAAAAGACGCAAATGGAGCATTTCTCTAGTCTAGTCATCTTCTGTTGCCTTACCTGCTGACTTTGGATTGGTTATGCTTTTATAGATAAAGAGATAGTTACCTGAATCTGGAGAAGTCTCTCCTGAGGTCTGACCTACAGATTTAGGAACTTGCCAGCCTTGAGAAGTAATTTTCTAGAGATAAATCTCTCTCAAGTGTGTGTGTGTGTATGTGTGTGTGTGTGTGTGTGTGTGTGTAGTATACATCCAGCCCAGTTATAGAGCTGTCCATCATAATTCACTCCTAGATTAAGCAGCAAGTCATGGAGGACTTGGAGTTCTGGTGGCTTAGTAGTAAGAAATTATGCTGCCAATGCAGGAGTACAAGGTTTGACTCTACCAGCAGTTGTGCAGAAGGATGATAATCCCTTCTTGTGTGACTCACTGACTCTGAAAACCTACTGAGGGTCAGCCATGGGCCAATTCCGACTTGCCAGTACACAATAATACATACACAGACACACACAGCGCTCTATCTCCACACAAACCCCCTGCATAGACACAGGCTGCCAAGCTGATGTATAACCTTAATCTTAACACCTATCTTACATGATAAAATATGAAAATGTAGTTTAATTCAATATGAAAATGCAAAACACTATACACACACACACACACATAAAAATATAATTAAATGTTAAAAAATGTTTTTTTTATTATTTTATATTCATTATATTTACTATAAATCATTACTTAAATCTTTGGTGGACTAATGAGAAGGCGCTGCACTGTCAAATCAAAAGCAGGTAGTCTGAATCCACCCCTCAGGATGGGCAATCTCCTCTTGTGTGATTTACAGCCTCTGAAAACTCACTGGAGGTTATGAGTTCTGACTTGATGGAAATGAGTTTGTTTTTTTTAGAGAGCTTACCTTCAAACTAAGACAATTTTTTATTGCAACTAATTATGATTCGGCTGACCTTCTACCAGGTTTTCAGAGGCTGTAAATCACACAGGGGGAGGTCGGCTATCTTTTTCTCATAGAGCCCTGGTGGTGAACTGGAACCACCAGAGGTGCTACCTTTGGGTCAGTGGTGCGATATGGACTTAACCTATAGGCCACCAGTGCCCCTTTGCCCAAGACAGTAAGTATTCTAACTGATGAGTTAAGAACATGTTTTTGACTCAGATCTGGGTATGGCTCTTTGCTCCTGATATTTTCTAGCTGTATGACCTCACACAAGTAATCTGAACCTCTTTAAAATTTTTTATTCTTTCACTGAAAGTTTAAATGACAAATTGATTTTTACGTTCAACAATCATAATATTATCTGACATGGTTAGCTGTTCTTTTTTTAAAATTTATTATTTTTCAATGAAAGTTTACAGAGACTTTTGATGTCCATTCATTCATTGTTGCACTTTTTTCCCCTCCCAACCCTCCCCCCTAGTACACTACCCTCTTGGAAAAGTAAAAGAAAAATTCTTTCACTGTTTTACAAACCCTCCCCCAGGTCTACTCCACTATGCAGTCTTTGCTCTGGACTCCTGTCATGACAAAAATACCTAATCACATATCCATTTTAAACCATTTTCTCCCTCATCTGTTTCAATGTAGTATATATTATTGAATCCATCTTTCTCAGTCTCCCCCCAACCCTGATGTCAGTCCTGTTTTACAACAGTGGCACCATGTAGTATTTGTCCTTTTGTGACTGAGATACTTCACTCAGCATAATGTCCTCCAAGGTCATCCATTTTGAATAGTATTTCATGAGTTCCTTGTTTTTCAATGCAGCGTAGTATTCCATTGTCTGAATATACCACAGCTTCTCTATCCATTCGTTTGTTGATGGGCACTTAGGTTGTTTCCAATTCCTTGCTACTGTGAACAAAGCGCAATAAACATGGGTGTGCATATGGTTGACTGTTCTCATGAGTGTTCCCTTGTATTGCTGTTTATACCTTATATGCCTTGTTTGGCAGAATGCTAAATCAGAGAGGTGAATTAAGTTCTGGGTTTGAAAGGTGATTAAGGGCCACAGTCATGAGGGTTTCCACAAGTCCCTATCAGATCAGGAAGCCTTTTTTTCTGATTTTCAGTTTTGTTACACATTTTTCTCCCACTGTGTCCATGACCTCTTGTGGTAATCCCTTTCAGAGTGGCTGGCAGTGGTAGCCAGGCATCAACTATTTCTGCTCTCAAAGTTAATGGAAGAGGAGGTCTGCCTACTCAATCAGTTTTTTGGACTGTTTCCAAAGTTTTTCTTTTTTAATTTTCTAGGTGCCACTGAGTAAGAATGACTCATAGCAACCCTAAGAATAACAAATCTGAGCCCTGTCATATCCTGTGCAATCCTCATAATCTGTGCCACACATAAGCCCATTGCTGCAGTCACTGTGTTAATCCATCTGGTTGAGTGTCTTTCTCTCTTTTGCTGTCTCTCTACCTTTCCAAGAATGATGATCCTCTCTAATAGCATCTCCTAGCAACATGCCAAAGTGTGTGAGAAAAAGCTTTATCATCTTTGCCTCCAAGAACTCCTTCTCCAAGACATATGTGTTTATTTTGGAAGTCCATGAGATATTCAGTACCCTTTTCCAACACACACTTTAAAGACATCAATTCTTCTGTCATCCTTATTCACAGCTTAGCTCTCAGCAGCATAGAAAGTGACTTAAAAGACCATGAACTGAATCAGTAGAACCTTAGTTTGTAAGCACTGAAAAAATGACAATGATCAATGAGAACTAAAAGAAACAAAATGTTCATCTTTACTTACCATTAAACACTTCATTAAACTCTCCTGGAGGTGCATGAGTGATGAATTTAGCAGCTATGCGTACCTACAGAGAAATAAAATGAAAAAGAAGATAATTAAAAATAATAATATATTAAAAAGGAATTAACTAAGTACAAAATGTTCAACATATTCCTTGCAATAAAATTTTCTATTTAAAACAATTATTTTTAAGAAGTCTCAGATTTTTTTTCACAAAAAATCTCAAAGCTGTTATTATTTATGTATGTTTACTGTGATTTCAGAATATATATGCTGTTTTAACTTTTTTGGTTTAATATCCTTTCCTTCTCTTTTATGGAAATGTTTTTATTGACTAAGTGAAAATTTACAAAGCAAATCTTTTCCATTCACCCACTCACACACATTTTGTTACATGACATTAATTCAATTTACCCTTCTTTCCCACTTCTTGCTTTCTGAGCTTTACTGCTGAACAAATGTTGCCCATTTGACCTTACGTTGTTCATTAGTCTAATATTATGCCTCCATTGTGTTATTCATCTTATGGGCTTATTGTTTAACTAAGGGTTGAGCCACAACAGAAGTGAGTTTTGTTCCAGATTCAAAGGATAACTACCGGCCAAAGTCACAGGGGTTCCACCACTCTCTGTCAGACTAGCAAGACTGGACATTTTTATACTTTGAAGCTCTGTTCCACCCACATGATGTAGGACCTTCTACTGTTACATATGGTTTTCTGGTAAGTTTGAATTTTTCCTTAAACTAATACAGTGTCTTAAGCGAAATAACTGGGTTTGGTTTTTTTTTTGTTTGTTTGTTTTTTTAATCACAACACACTTTTTTTGTTATGTGTCATTATGTCCAAATTAATCCTTCAGCAGGTTTTCAGAGGCGGTAAACTGCACAGGAGACTGCTTATCTTTTTTTTTTTTAGGAGACTGCTCATCTTTTGCCAGTAGAGCAGCTAGTAGAGAAACATACTACTACATATACAAACAGAGAAAGCTACGATTTCACTTAAAAACACTGAAGTAAAATGTTTAAGTATAATTTTAGCAAATTAGTAGCCCCTTACCAGCCTATTTCTAGAGTTTTTAGAGCAATCATTCTATTACAAAGAGAAATCACTTTCTTTGCCCTGGAAACAGCCTTTTTTGGCCAGCTAACGCCAGCCTACAAGGTACACAAATCTGTACAAAACAGTTGGAGAGGTCACTCAGATGATTGAGGCTGGTACATAACAGCTGCACATATTTTGCCCTGAAATCTAGCTGGTCATACATCTGGCTTAGGTGACTTGAATCTCCTACCTGCATAGGTGGGCATAAAAGTTGTAGGTACACAGGTCTTAGATCTAACTGGTTGCTAGGGGCTGTGGGAGCCCAGGGCAGTGTGTGTATGTCCATTATTATCCTACTACCCAGGTTCATGTGAGGCCAGCACCATGAAACACAGTTGTACATGGGAAACTATCTCCATCGGTTCTGGACAAGCCCATGGTCAGTCTGTGGGTGGCTGACTGCAACTCATAGTGACTCTATGAACAATGAATCTGAACCTTGCCCATCTAGTGCCATACTGATCATTTCTGATATACTTGAGCCTATTGTTATAGTCACTGCATCAATTAGATGCATTGAAGGTCTGTTTTTTTCACTGATCCTCTACCTTTCCAAGCATGATGTCCTTTTCAAAGGAGCATCCTGGCTGCACTTTCTCCATAACATGTTTGTTCTTTTGGCAGTCCTGGGATATTCAGTACTCTTTTTCAATACCACAACTCAAAGGAATCTTCTTCTATCATCCTTAGTTAATTGTGGATCCAAGCAAGATGAAGCTGTTCAAAGTTTCTCCTTCCCATCCATCATGACACTGTCTATTGGCCCAGTGCTAAGAATCTTTGTTTTCCTGATATTGAGACACAATCCATACTGAAGGCTGCATTCCTTGATTTTCTGCAACAAATGCTTCAAGTCCTCCTCACTTTAAGCAAGTAAGGTTGTATCATCTGTATAATGCAGGTTACTGATGAGTCTCTTTCCAGTCTTGATGCCACATTCCTCTTCATAGAGTCCAGCTTCTCGGATAACTTGTTCAGCATATAGATTTTTTTTTCTTTTTTTTTTCAGCATATAGATTGAACAGGTATGGAGCAAGAATACAAACTGATACACTCCCTTACCAATTCCAAACTATGCAGTGCTCCTGATCCAGGTATTGGTTCCTCATGAGCACAATCAAGTGTTCTGGGATTCACATTCTTCTTAAAGTCAGCCACAACTTGTCATGATCGACAGTCACAAACATTTGTATAGTCAATAAAGCACAAAAGACATTCATCTGGTATTCCTTATTTTCAGACAGCGTCCATCTGACACCAACAACGACATTCCTGGTGCCTGTGATGGTTCCCTTCTTGACTTCGGATGGCACCTGAGAGCTTCCTTGTCCTGCTCAGATGTGGCTCCCTCTGCTGCTCAACTTCCTCTTCACCTTCCTGACGTCGTGCTTTCGGGTCTGAAGCACACAGCCAGATAGGCAGCTGTAGATGAGACAAAAAGTGCTCTGGATTCCAGGTTTAAACTTTGATGTCAGTAAATTCTTATTGGTACAGTGACTCTGTGTATTCCTTCCATCTTCTTTTGTTGCTTTCTGGGTCTTTCAATATATTGCCCAAAGCATTTTTTAATTTTGCGACAGGAGCTCTAAGTTTGTTTTTCAGTTCTCTCAGCTTGAGAAATGCAGAGTTCTTCCCTTTTTATTCTCCAATTTCAGCTTTCTGACATTCCATTATAATACTTTGCTTTGTCCTTCCTGGGCTGCCCTTTGAAATAATCTGTTTAGCTCTTTCCCTTCAATATGCTTTTCTTTAGATTTTGCTTCTTGATGTTCCAGTGCAATCTTTAGAGTCTCTTCTGACATCCATTTCGATTTTTTCTTTTTCCTGTCTTGATAATGACCTTTTGCTTTCTTCATGGATGATATCCTTGATATCATCCCACAACTCATCTTGTCTTCTATCATTGGTGTTCAATGCCTCAAACCTATTCTTAAGGCGATCATGAAATTCAGATGGAATTGATTCAGGATTATAGCTTGGTTCCCGTGGACTCATTTTCATTTTCTTTGGCCTCAATTTGAACTTGCATATGAGTAACTGATGATCTGACCCACAGTGTGCCCCTGGTGTAGTTCTGACTGCCAATATTGAGCTTCTCCAATGATTTCTTCCACAAATGTAGTTAATCTGATTCCTATGCAGCCTATCAGGTGAAATCCTGTCTTTTTTGTCATGAATAAAACACTGTAAATACAACATTCAATCATTCTATTTCCAACTTCATTTCTATCACCAAGCCCATATTTTCCAACCACTGTTTTTATGAGCTTTATGAGGAGGAGTGTGGCATCAGGATGGGAGGAAGACTCATTAACAATCTACGATATGCAGATGATACAACCTTGTTTGTTGAAACTGAAGAGGACCTAAAGTACTTGCTGCAGAAAGTTAAAGACTGTAGTCTTCAATATGGACTTAAGCTCAATATCAAGAAGACAAAGATTCTGACCACCGGGCCAAATGGCAGCACCATATTAAATGGAAAAGAGATTGAGGTTGTTAACAATTACAGCTTGCTTGGATCCACACTCTTAACAACAGCAGTCAGGAAATCAAAAGACGAACTGCATTGGGAAAATCTGTCATGGACCTCTCCAGAGTGCTGAAGAGCAACAATGTCAGTCTGGATACAAAGGTGCGCCAGATCCAGGCCATGGTCTTCTCAATTATGTGTTACACTTCAGAGAGTTGGATAATGACTAAGGATACAGAAGAACAGATGCCTTGGGTTGTGATGCTGGAGAAGAGTCTTGAACATACCATGGACTGCCAAGAAAACAAAAGGTCTTGGAGAGGGTAAAGCCAAGTCTTTCCTTGGAGGCAAGGATTTTGAAGTTCCACCTCACTTACTTTGGGCATGGGGCCGGGGCTGGGGCTGGGGGGGGTGGAGATGGTGGTGGTGGTGTTGGTCCTTGGAGAAGGACATCATGCTCGGAAGGGTGGACGGATAGCGCAGGAGAGGGAGACCCAGAATAAGATGGATTGCTGTATGGTGGGACCAGTCTTTGGAGAGTGAGACCCTCAATGAGATGGACTGATTCAGTAGCTGGGATAATGGTGGTATAGAAGTGTCTCGGTACAATTCACCCCACCCGTTCCAGCCTCAAAAGCTCATTCTGTGTCCGCTGCACTGAAACAGTTGCATCAAGATCTCTTTCTAGATCTCACTTAATGTCATGGTCAAGGTCCAGCTCAAGTTCCAGATTAACCTAGAACTCCTCCCTCCTTTGTACCCTATTATGGAACACTTTCCTACTCGCTTAGGCAGTTATTCTTTCCTGTTTGTACTTGGCCTCTTCTATAAGAGGAATTACTTTAAACAGGTACACTGAGATTTGACTTGTGGCCAAATTTTAAAAAACATGAGGTTCTAAAGAAATGGTGGCACGAAGTGAAACACTCTGTCCCCTCTTTGTAGAATTAAGGTAACTTTTATTTTCTAGCTCTGAGCTACAATATCTTTTGTAAAGATTAAGCTTAGTTTTTTTTTGTGTTGGGTTTTTTTTTTTTTTAAAGTATTCAGTGTCATCTGCTGCAGAGATGGAGTATTTTTATTTTGTTATTATTTGCTTGCTTATTTTTAAATTTACTGTTTCAAGCTTTAAATACCTAATTCTTTAGAGGGAGAACCCAATTTTTAATTATGTTAGCTTTTTTAAAAGATTTGTATATGTAACTTTTGCTACCAACATGACTGCCTTATTGAATAGATCAGTATTAAAGTCCTAGAATATGAATACCTCTATTTGTGGAAATGATGTAAAACAAGGCATGCCTCTGACCAGCAATAAATTACTCAATCTGGGGTTAAAAAACTCCAAACTTTTATTATCTCTTTGAATAGATATACAGTGACTCTGTATTCCCTCCATCTACTTTTGATGTTTTGCTCATGACATCTTTTAGTATTGCAACTCAAGGCTTGAATTTTTTTCATTCTTTTAGCTTGAGGAATGCTGAGC